AGTGATAAAGCCGAGGATTTAAGACTACCAGTTAAGACCGTTCTATAGCAACCCGCCCCAGAACATATTATTTAAAAGCCAGGAATATGCACGTTTATACCGTTTAATGTCTCATAGCCTGCAGTAGGACCAACTTCAAAGTGGGTGGGGCTTAGAGGAATAATCAACCGAATGGATATTTCTGCTAATCCCGCCCCTTGGATATTGTTGCTAAGGTATCACAAAAAGCGTAAACATTTTCTCATGGGATATGTTCTTATTGGTCAAATGTTAAGTTTGATTGACATTCCAGGAAAGTCATTTTTATTATCTGATAGCAAATCAAACGATGATTAATTTAATTCTTAGCTCAATTTGTTTCAATTTTTAAAGGTTGTTTATATTCATACTCATTGCAAATACGAATCAACCACTTGTAGATTTATATAAATAAACAAGTGTCAAAACAGACAATTTACAAGTAATCACATTTTGAGATAATCCTTATCTTATTGACTTTCTTTTGTTCTGATATATTTAGGGGCTTTCTCATTACAATATTTACAGTTTAATATTTCCCTGCAAGAATTAAAATATAGTATAAAATCATAATAATAAATATCACAATAGTTCATCATCAAAACTCTGATCAACAAAATTAAACTCTACATAATTTCACAGGGTACATACAAAATTTATGTTATAATATCCTTGAAAATATCAACCAAACATAGTACTGCAGTCCACCTTTTGATGAAGTTCACTGAATATTTGGAACATATAATGGGTAAAGAATTTACAGAGTTTCTGATTCCACCACAACATTGCAAATGGTTCAGGATTCTTTCCAAATATGGTAAAGAGGAATTCCAATGAAACAGTCAATATAGCCTTTGACCTTGAGTGTGTCACCATACACCGACTGGAAGCACATAGCAACCACTGAGATACGCTGCAGAGAGGGGAAATCAGCAGTGAACTTGGAGCCAAACTACTTCCATTGCCTACAAAACTTGGTACATCAAGTGGGCGTGCATTGATCTCATTCTGAATTCCTCAAGGCCACCTGCCTTCAACAGCCTAGCTCCAGAAGAGTTGTAGAGCCTGTTGTAGACTATATAGGATTCCTAAGTAATCCAAGCTAAAACTTTGAGTAAAAAAATTCCCAGCTTTATACCACTTGGGATTAAAAAATTAAAAGCAATTCATCTTCCAAAAGAAAAACCTTCATCATCATTTCCATTTAGTGTCTGCTTTCATGTTTCTATGGTTTCTGTTTCTATGGTTTATGAGTTATAAAGCACTGTACAGATTATCAAAATTGTTTGAAAGAAACATGTGACATCACATCATGACCATATATAGGTATATCATGACTATATATGGGCATAGAAAATCTTTATTTGTCAATGATAGTTTGGACTGAGTCTTAAGTTGTCTGATCAGACTTCCATATTTTGACATCGTAATCTCTATTAAATTTTATGTGACAAATAAATGTGATATGCCCATATTGCCCATATGGCAATCACTACCTCACATATTTCAAATAAAATTTTATCCTCACTGATTTTTATCCCATCATCAAATAAAGATGTAAAATAAAATTTACGGTAATTTCCAACTTTAAATATTTATACAAATCTCATGACTTCATATATTATGCAAATATTTACTGCTCATGAGGGGAATGGTGGAATCTATTGGCTCCCGGTGATATGGAGACCATAGCTTGTTTCCCGAGGGCCGGCCCTCGGACAGGTAAGCTACGGTCTCCACATCACAGAGGGGCTATAGATTTCACCGTTCTCCGAATCTAGAGCAGTCAAATATTTGTTCGATACCTCATACATATAGTAGATTCTAATAGATTCTACGAGACCTAAAAAAAGTAATGAAGATCATACACACCGAGTAGGCCTAGACGATTAAAGGGTCAATCTCTTTCAGCATCGTAAAGGTTGCACCTCTTTTAAAGTTTGTGCGTGTCATAAATTACTGTACATAGCAATCAGAGATTGCACATCGCATGGAGGGGCAAAAAAGTAGGCCTACTATGCCATAGAGTAATAGAACTATCATCCTATGGGATAGTACTATTACCCTATGGTTAATAGTACTATCCCAGAGGATAATAGTACTACTGTATCACCCTATGGGATATTACTAGTGTAAACCTAAGGGTAATAATACTATCCCACAATAATAAGTATTGATGAGATAATTTATTAAGGTTACATTCTCCTAACTAGGAGGAAATGTTCTGCTGGAAATGTAGCTCTGTATAATTTAGCAACTTCAACTGTTTATCTTTTGAGTCAAGTGGTTGTTGTACTCATAAGTGGTAACAAATGAGAACATGGTTGCTACTGAAATCATTTACATTTGACAAATAGTGGGATATGGATCACCAATGGGAGTTTAGACAAGACTTTTTTTATACCCTGTTTAGCAAACCTGCCACCCACTAATAATGATGATTTTGAATAAAAATGAAATTTAATTTTTGGCCAATTAGCACACCCGCCCCCATGAAAAAATAGAAATTTCCAGGGGAAAAAAAATGTTAAATTAAAAAAAAAATTCATATTATGACCACCATTGAATTGAAATCTAAAAAAATAAGATGTAAACCTTCCTAATTATTTAAAGTATTTATTTTAACCATCCCATTAGCATACTGTTCACAATATTCGCCAATAAAATTTCATTTTTTTACTTTTTCCTCCGTCTGGATGTTTTTGGTAAAACTATTTGCTATTTAAAAAATAAGGAAAAAAAATAATTTTTATATTTTTTTCTGCCCTCCTCTGACGATGTCTAAAAAAAATAAGTTTGTAAAACAAGGTATAAAAAGAGTCTTAGCTTTACTCATTTCACTTGTACAGTAACTGAAGGTCATGAGCTAAATTAATTGAAAAATTAAATAGGGCAATTTATATGTGGTAAATCATTGTATTGAGTTTTAAGTACTGTATAAAACATACTTATTCATGTTGAAAATTTAGTTTCGGATGAGTATCTTACTGAACTCTATACTCTATACTGTTGAATCTGTACAGGTCATTAACACCAGACTAGACTGGAGATAAACAATACAGTAAAGATCCTAACCACAGAGGTCTTCCCAAAGCTATTGGTCCACCACAAAAGGGATGCTATTTCGATTTTGCTTTGATAAATGTTTATCTATGGAAACGTTTTATGACTCACATTCACTCAAGAATCAACAACATCCAAGCAGCCAGCCTATGATGATAATGATAGGACGTTAAAGGAAACTCTTAATAATATTCACTGACCATCTTCTTGACAAAAAAAAATTAACTTGAAATTAATTTCAGTCATTTAATGATTTGAAGATCAAATTATTTTATAATTTCAACTGAAGTGAATGAGTGTCTTCCTGGTAGAACAACCTCAGCAACGAGTATGCTCATCCCACAGGTTGTTGCTAAGCGCACTTGGGACGAATATATTCATCAAAACCGGGCTAACATTCTTATCTAGCATTTATTACTTTATTGTATTGTAGAATCAGAGATTAAACAACAGCTGATAGGTTGGGGAAAGATACACCTAGACGATAACGTACAAATAATGTGTTATGTCGTTGTGTTTAATGTTGCCGGCAGTGCACTTGATTGCATGAGTGGGGGCGTAATCTGAACATATACCAACCCATGTAAAAACCGGACGAGAAAACTCACACTTGCAATAAAAATGGGAAGGAACCTAAAAACAAAAGGGTCTCCGCAGTCAATGTGTTTAGAACCAAGAACAGTGTCCCTTTAAAAGGCGTGTTATAGCAAAATGGTCACGTACTGACATACTGTACAGTAACCTAAAACAGGCAAGATACGATTCACGTTTAGAGTAGCTAGATCATTAATGTGCAAATTATGTCATCTACAGTAGGCCTTGGATTTTGAATATTTAAAAATTATATGGATATTAGAAACTCTGAACAGAACATTTTCTAACAGCTGTCACTAACAATAGGTCCTTTGAGTAATGTACAAAACACTATATTTTGGGGAGGGGTTAAAAAATCAAGTAGGTCTACAGGTATATCCTAAATAGGGCCTATTGAACAAAAAAAAATTAACAGAGTGAAATTCCAGTGAGGATTACAGTACATTTTACTAAAAATTGTTTGCAACTATTGTAGTACTACACTTACATTACCCATGATCACAGACATACCATTAGCAATGAATTTTACTACAATATACTACTAATTTATGTATTATGTAGTGTGATATTTGTTTAATATTTACAGTACATCACCGTTATTATTATTCATGTCTTGTCATAACCATATTTATCATGGAAAACTACTGTTTCTTCAATGGTATCCTACTAGATCACTGGAAATTTTAGAGTATTATCACTAATTAGGCTAAGTCTATGTTAAGAATGGCATATATTTTTTCACTAGACCAACGGGCAATGAAGTTTTCATTTTATTTGTTCCCGAACTCGGAACATCTGTGTTGCTAGTTAACACTACCTGTATACCAGGAAAGCCCAGGGCCTGTTTAATTAAAATATTCAATATATTAAAAAGTCGGTGAATTTCTAAAACATTATAGGGTGATCCTTCAAACTACATCCATCCACAGTGTCACTTGAATAATATTTGGAGGTCCTCTTAAATTAATTGAATAATGAGTGAAGTCATTTTAGTTTCTTGAGCCTTACATGATTTGGACCCAAGACAATGAGATTAAAAAGTGTATCCTAGCCACCAAGCTATATGGCTCCAATTACTGTTTGCATTTTAGGTGACTGTCACACTGTGTAAAATGGCCAATCCCAGCATGCAGATTTCAGAATATTTACATTTTACCTGGGATGCACGGATGATTAATGAAATCATCCTGTAAAGTCTATTTACATTAAAACTTTTCACATTTTTTATTTATCAAAATGCCACACCTTAAGCATTCAGAATGTGTTAAAAAAAATTAAAAAATTAAAAATTCCTTTAAAATTGACAAAAAGAATGTTGACAATACCTTGCAACATGCTTCTATATGCAGTGTCTGTGATGGCGTAGATGTGCGGGGGAACCTCATGACGTTTCTTGCCCTTGTACAATTGAATTACTTTTTCTGTGTATATCGGTAGGTTCCTGTATGGGTTCACCACCACACAAAACAATCCAGAATATGTCTACAAAAAAAGAAAATCAAATCATTTTTTTTGTATTGTATACCAAAAACTTTAAAAATTTCAGATGGTATTACAAATATATTAACATATTTAATTTCTCTTCACTCATGTTTACTAAATTCTAGAACATGTTGTAGCTACTAGTCTAAGCGCCTCTTTACGGCGGCTGAGGTAGTCACTGACCATCCCCATACGTAATTCAGCACAATGATGCTCTGAGATATGGGTTATTCTCTTACCTCTAGACGATTTATCTATTGTTTATTAAATTATATAGTAAGGGAATTATTTTCATTATCACCCAACCCACAAAAAAGCAGTGATTACACACACAATGACCCTGATTTCATTCCAAATGGCTGGAGTACTTACATAATTTTAATCAATTTAAAAATATTTTACTAACAATTCAAAGAAAATTAACAAGAAAAAAATTGTAACTGAAAATATAACAATAATCTTTATAGCAAAATTTATTAACAATTGCTTTTATAATCATGTTTTGTGCGTTTAATAATCACTATGTCATATTAGTGATACAATTTACACCTACATATATGGTGGTGTTATAGAATCATCATCAGTAATGAACCAATTAGTGTCACCAACAATTATTCAGGTACAAAAATATGCTGCCCAGATTATCAATGATTTACATTGTCTCTTTTCAAAATCAAATTCTCCTCCTCTTAAAATTCCCTTCCCAAAAAAAAGCACAAAGAAGTAATTGTTCTCGCTTTTATTGAAGGAATTGAATCTGTTCCAGTCGAGTGAACATAGTTAAGGGTGAGTGCATGGTGTAAGAGAGAGAGAGAGAGAGAATTACTGTAATATCTTTTGGACTCCCTAAGCAAGTGCAAAATCTAGATAACAACCAGGATTTGATCCGTAGGCCATACAAGGCTATGGCTTTGAAAAGTTAACAGTGCATAACAAATAAGCCATTGGGCGGAGTATTGTTTGTTAGTATGCAACAGTTGGCGAAATCAAGCACATTCCGAGCTACCTGTGCTCTAGATTTTGTGTTGGCATAGCTGGTGTAAGGTCAGGCAAAATATGAGTTTGGTGCATGTCCATAAATCATCTTCCTTCAACATATGGCTGAGATTTTTTTCTTCATCATTCTTTTCATCAAACTGTTAATTATACTTTTGTAAATTAACTTTCCTTTATCGTATTCATATCAGTTTCAAAAACAAAATTATTTTCTTATCCATTTATTTGTAATGTCTAATTTTGTTTTAAGAATCCGGATTTCCATACAACAAAAGTAGCTGCTCTTTTGAAAACCTAAAATCTTGATTTATGCTAAAAAATTGTGTTTGTATAATGGTAACCACTAGGGCTAAAATCCATGGGGGGTTTTTTTAACCATTTTTTAAAAACCATATTTATCAAGGTGATCCATATCCTAGAAGGTCGGCTGATATTCGGGGGCCCTCTTAAATAAATGAAATAATGTGATGCTTTTATCAGCGAAATCTCTTTATGAAGCTTAGGGAGTGGTGGTTTTTTTTTATAGCAAGAAAAAGTCATGTTGATTACAGGATTTGAACCCAGGACCCTGGAATTAGAAGGGAAGCAGCTTAACCAGTAAGCTAATCAACTCTACTACTAGTAAGTTTGAAAAGTGCCCTTTGCTTTTCGAAATAAAAGTATCTTGGTTTCTCCTTAGTAAAAAGCCACCAAGTACTGTTATGTTACTGTTAGCAGGGATGTAGTTACAATGGGCGGATCCACCCAGCTTTGAAGTTTCCCACCCTGTCTAACTAAAGCTAATTTCATGGCCCTTCACCCAACCTTATTAACCCACTTTTCCATCCTTAAAATCCACTCTTATTATTTAGATTTTACTAATGTTATCACCTATAGTAAACACCCTTAAAATGCAGGGGAAGATTTATGGAAAGCAAAAAAACAAAAGAAAGAAAGAAAAAGAAAGAAATTGATTGCCCAAAGCGCCTCAGGTTATTTCCGGGCGTTTAGAACACCAAACCCTCAAAATCCCTAAGGTAGTATAATCTCAACCGGAACACTTTCAGTCCCCTTTTCAGACATTTCTGGATCAGCCCTTGAGATGTATATCACCCACACCCTTAGTTTTCTACAGCTACAACCCTTGTAAGGACTGAATTCTTTTTAGAAATATACCACCATTGCTTTTTATTGAACAGGATTAACAAAAATATTAAATTAATTGGCTAATTATCAATGTCCTTTTATAGTTTAATTACGTTTTAAAAATTCCAGATATTTCCATCAGTAAGGTTTCAACAGACTCACTCATCAGGATTTCAAGTCATCCCCGTCATCAAGATTTCAATTCACTCTGTCATCAATTGAAAGTGTGCCACAGTGAAGACAGGTGTCCCTGCCATGAACGTCATCATGTTTTGGTGTTCATAAATTCCAGGGTATATAGTATTTTAGCAAGTTATTGGTTCAGGAAGAATTAGCTTCTGAACTTTAGTGTATACCTCAAGTTGATATACTGTAAAACTTCCAATAGCCAAAAATTGCCTGAGACTGCCGACCTCAGAAAATTTAAGGTCGGCAAATTTTTGCCGATCTATTTCTTTCCGAATTTCATGGGCTATTTATTTATTTATTTTTTTTTATTTCAAGGCTATTTTTGCAAAGTAATGAGGGGACTTCTTTTTAAAATTAATGCTGTAAATTTTGGGAATTATTTATAAAACTATAAATACGGCCGATGTAACATCAATCTGTATCACAGAGTGTATTAACCGGCATTCAATCACTTAAACTACTTTATATAAACCAAACATGTTTTTAATTTTCAATCACTTAAACTACTTTATATAAACCAAGCATGTTTTTAATTTATTCTGTTTCTTTGAAGGAGATGGGCTTCTTTTCAAGGCTACCTTTGAAAACAAAGAGGAGGGCTTCACTTTGAGTTCTGCTCCTCAAGATTAAGCCCACAGGGCAGGGGCAGACCCAGGATTTCAAAGAGGGGGTTCAGAAAGTTCCCAAAAAAACCAAAAAAGAAAAGGGGGAGGGGGGGTTCCGAAAATTATGATTCCTAGATGGCCGGAAATGAGCTTTCCCGACTTCTAAGGTGTCTTTTAATGACCTTTTTTAAGTTCAAAATTCAAGGTTTTCTCTCTCTTGAAAAAGGTCAGGTAATTTTATCTCATTCTTAGGCCTGATACACAGAGAAAAAAAAAAAAGATATAGGGCCTAGGCAATATACGTAGTCTTTCCTCCATGAATCGATAGGCCTGAAGAACGCACTTTCGTACAATTATTACGACTCGTCGAACCAAAAACAGTGTTTGTTAAATTCATTTAATTGATCTCATTCTTAGGCCTGATACACATAGAAAAAAAAAAAGATATAGGGCCTAGGCAATATACGTAGTCTTTCCTCCATGAATCGATAGGCCTGAAGAACGCACTTTCGTACAATTATTACGACTCGTCGAACCAAAAACAGTGTTTGTTAAATTCATTTAATTGAAGGCTTATTGGGTTAAGCCTAATTTGCCAACCTCCTAGGTAGGCCTAGGTTAGCCTGCCTTTTGTAAGCCAGGTCCCATTAGTATTTTGTTACGTTTCTTCACAGAGTGGGATTGGTCTGAACCGCTTGAACCCTCCTGGATCCGCCATTGCATTGGGCTTCTTCTCAAGATTAAGCCCATTGGGCTTCTATTCGAAGTGTTACATTAGTATTTTATGATGGGCATCAAATTTAGAGATGATAGATCTATTAATACAATAGTCAAACTACAGTACAATTGTAGTAAAAGTCTGCGTCAAAGGTCAAATTCCAATATCATCTTTGATTATTACTTGTCTACTACACACCCTTCCTTAGTTTTCTACAGCTGCAACCCTGATTTTTAGCATCTGTACTTGTGGTAAGATGTGAACTTCATGTTAGAAGAAATAAGCAAACCAACCAATGGTATATAGTTCTAGTTTTTTTTACTCCAAAGCATTGGGGGTGGGGAAATACACGTAGTAGAATGTGTTGACTCATTCATGTCACTGCTCGCAGACAGACTACGGTAACATGCACAATGTTAATTTTGATGCTTTTATTAGTTCAGACGTCTGAATAAATATTTGCACACTGTGAATGCTGTACAGTATTTGAATAACTGGTTAGTTAGTAGCGCAGATATGGTATGTTTTTGCCATAAAAGAATTTTATTCTATTTTCTGAAAATTGCATCCTTTCAAACTATATAGTAATTAATATTAAACAATTTTAAAGCCCAAGATTATGTAGCCAGTGATGGCACCATGACTGGGGTGGGGGGGATGGGGGATTTCTCTCCAGCTCAATATAGTGCCACACAGTTACTAGAAAAAAATACATATTTTGTGAGATCAGGATCATATCCATTTTATATTTCAAAAATGTTTTACTTTTTCTGTAACAACAGTACAAACTTACAAAATAAATTACACCACTATGGGTTCGAGCTTTCAGGGGGTTTTCTCTGGACCCTCTAGAGGTGGGACCCTTAGCAATCTTGGCCCCGCCAGTCATTTGGAACATCCCCCACACAAACTCATTCAATTTAATCAGGCCATATGAACGGTCCCTGGCTGGCTGACGAGTCATATCAATGTATCTTAATTAACTCCTCTGAAGTTCAATATTTTTGGTCTTCCCCTGCCCTATCCACATTTTAATAACACTGGTGCTGCCACAACCAATATCATTCATTGTAGAATGAATGTGTAGTGATTTCTGAAAGACTTTCACCTCATCAACCCTCTGTTCCAAGACAATGGGATAGGTCTTAGGCTAGGCAAAACAAACAACTAGAATAAATATACCTAGGCATGGTAGTAACAAATATAGATACTTACATATATTAGGCCAGAATAGTACCGATCTTTTAAATTGTATAATACACAAGCTTCATTAAGGCATGTCAACTCCGCCATGTCTTCGACTTTTTCAAATTTAGGAGGATTCATCCTTTGTATATCATCCCTATTGACAACCACTCTTTTTCCTCCTTCCAATTCCACTGTAACTTCTTCACCTTTTTCACTTTTTACAGAGGCAGCAACAAAGCCTTCTTGTTCATCGGGAATCCATACTAATTTCTTTGCAGACCATTCTGCTTGTGCAGTAGGGTCTGCGACCTTGTTACGGTCTACATGCAAGTATTTTAGAGCTGAATCCATCTTGCCTGGTGTAGCCTAGAAAGACCGGCTTTTATTAGCTGCTCAGCTCGTGTGGGGTCGCTCCGTTGTGACTCTGTACTACTGTAAACACTTCCTTGCTAGGCTAGCCCAACCTATGCAATAAATCGTATTTTACGTCCAGAAATACAAAGTTTTTCATGAAACAGACGGATTTAGAGTCAATTCTGAATAAATTTAAAATAGTGATTTTCATTCAGCTTGAAAATGTTCAATATCTTCGCTCTCTCTCGGTGGGTTTATCTCCAAGCAGCACACTACCACTTTACTCGCCTCGCCTGTTGGATGCTGCTCGCTCTGCGGTTGGACCTCGCCCGCCTGTGTCTATCTGGCTGCGGTTTTTCTGGATGATGATTAGGTCGATAATCACGTGACCATAAGTATGTGACCCTGAAAATCCAAGCCGATTTCAATAGGGATTTTCAAATAAAAAAGAATGATTATTTTAAAACATCGATTGTTAACTGTTAAATTATGACTTCGCTCACTGAATAGTTTTTAACGTATACATTTGTTTCAATTGACTCATTCTTCGGTTAGGAATTCTCCATCTCCAAATGAAAGTATCAATTAATTATTACAATTAGCGGTGGTACCGGAAATACCATAACAATTACATCATTGACACTATATACGAAAAACCTCATCTCCTTCTATTTATATACAACTAAGCACTCCCCGGAAGTTTTTCTGTTTGTAAAAAAAAATATACATTCATTGACATTTTTGGAATACGTGTTGCACTTTAAAATATGGTCTGACCCATAATGGTAATAATAATTATATATATATAATACTTTGGATACTTGGATTATATATATAT